CTCCCCCCAGCTCCCCCCAGGTCCCCCAGCCGCAGTGTCCCACGTACATCGTCCCTGAGCATGTTGGACAGGAAGGTCATCATGACGCTGTGCTTCCGAGGGTACTTCTGGCACAGGGCGCTGATGGCCTGCACCACCACCACCTGCAGAGCAGCACACAGGGACAGCCCTCAGGGCTGGTTTGCCACGGAAACCGCAGGGTTTATTTCAGTCTGTCACCGTGGCTGGTGAAGTTCATGCCCAAGGATAAAAGTCAGGTGGTGGATTCTCAGCGTAACAACCTCCTGTCAGCCTGCAAGGCCTGGCTTTGCGAGAGGGACTGGGATTGAGGGTGGACTGCTAACCCAATCCTAACCTCCCCAGTCACATCCTGCCTCGAAAACCCTTTTCAGTTTCAAAGGTGCCTGGTACTTACTCCATTTCCTCACAAAACCAGGAATTTAGGAGCACTGCAGAGACCTGCTGTGCTCCTCAAGGCAGCCCCATGATGTGGAGGGGACAGGTGATCCACCCTGAACCAATTCATTACCACAATTCAAAAACTTTGAGGGAGAAATTTATCACTCACACTGGTTGCTAAATGTGTATCAGACTGAAATGCTACAGATTCAACCAGAACAGTTAAAAATCCCTCCTTCTCCCCAAGGAGGAAACCGGAAGGCAGGAGAAGGTTTTGCAGGATCTTGCACAGGAGCCAGGAATCCACCAAAGGACATTTATCCTCTCTTGGAATGCTGGGGAGGAAAGGGCAGAGCCAGGAATCCACCAAATGACAACTGTCCCTTCTTGGAATGGTGGGTTGAAAGGACAGAGCCAGAAGTACATCAAAGGACATTTCTCCTCTCTTGGGGTGGTGACAGGAAAGGACAAAGCCAGGAATCCACCAAAGGACATTTATCCTTTCCTGGAGGGCTGGGAGGAAAAGCACAAAGCCAGGAATTCACTAAATTCACAATTATCCCTTCTTGGAATGATGGGAGGAAAAGACAGAGCCAGAAGTACATCAAAGGACATTTCTCCTCTCTTGGAGAGCTGGGGAGGAAAGGGCAGAGCCAGGAATCCACCAAAGGACATTTCTCCTCTCTTGGAGAGCTGGGAAGAAAGGACAGAACAAGGAATCCATCAAAGGACATTTGTCCTTTGTGGGAGGAAAGGACAGAGGGCATTTCAGCTGGAAAGCAGAGCATTACACTCGAATTTCAACCTGGCTTTGCTCTACCAGACCAAGCCACGGCCGGATTAAAAAAAAAAAACACAAATGGGAAAAGCTTCATAAAAAACAAGAAATGGGAGAAAAACCTGCAGGTGGCAAGAGCAGAGGCCTCCAGTGGCACACCTTAAACTCATCTGAGATCTCTGACACGAAGGAGGAGATCTGCTTCATGAGCCTGTCCACGCTGCTCTCGCTGCCCGTCTTGAGCAGCGTGGTGATGGCCAAGGTGGCGATGCTGCGGTTCGAGTCGGTGATCAGGTTCTCCAGGTCCAGGTTGCAGGCAGTGACTGCAGAGGGGTGTTTCATGGCCACCTGCAAAAGGAAGGCAGTCCCCAGTCGCACGGCAGCAACGTCCCACAGTTCAGAGAGCCGGGGGCAGGCAAGGCTCGGCTGGCTGGTTCTGATGGAACGCTCGGGTTCTGCTGTGCCAGCGTTCCAAGGGGCAGCTCACGGGTTCCAGGCACAGAGTGCTGCTGGGCAGCTCTGAAATCAAGGGGTTCCTTCCCTCCTGCAGATTGGGCAAGACTGAATACCCAGCACTCTGCTTCCTCACAGCTGGCAGCTCACGAGGTGTCAAAGCACAGCTTGTCACAC